CCCAGAGAGGATGTCTCTGTCCACAGTCGAGGGAGGGCTCTGAAGGGGAAGGCTGGGGTGCGTCCATCCTCCTGGACTACCAGCCTCAGCACTGGGATGGCTCCGGGTCTGGGAGTAACAGGAAATAGCACCCTCTGGGTGACTGAGGCCAAGGTCTCTGATTAAAACAGGGCAGAATGGTGGGTCTGCACAGCCAGGAAGGACCTTGCTGATGGTGCTGACTTGGCAAAGGACTGGCACAGAGTCACCTGAAAGACTGGGATCTTATCTTTGCCCCACCCAGGGGCATTGGCCAGACACCAGCTCTACCCTCAGAGGCCTCACAGCCACTAAGTATCTCCAACAACCAGCTGTGAGGGCACTTGAAGTGACAGCCATGTACAGGACTTCTTGTAGAAACTTGGGAAGTTAAGCTGTCCCCAAGAAGCAGCCTTAGGCTGAGGATCCTTAGCTGGCCAAGTACATGAGAGTGGTGTGTCAGCCAGAGCAAAAGTAGGGATTCCACTGGGAGCAGAAAGACCCCTTGCCTCACAGCAACTTCCCCTGCCCTCTATCCTACAGTGCCAACTGCAGGCAGCTTGAGACACAAGCACAACAGCCTCAGGACACCAGCCTGGAGCCTATAGTTCAGAGCTTAGACCTTGGCAGGACATCCCACATTGCCATACTAGAAAAGGATGAAAAATTGCCTGAGGCCTGGCTTAGTTCCTGGGTCATGGGGTTAAATTTAAATAATTAAGATTCAGTTTATTTTTATACTTTTTTTTTTTTTGGTCTCTTTGAGACAGGGTCTCCCTGTAGCCTCAGCTGTCCTGGAACTCACTACATAGGCTGGCCTTGAACTCACAGAGATCTGCCTGCCTCTGCCTCCCAAGTGCTGGGATTAAAGGTGTGTGCCAGCATGCCTGGCTATGCATATTTTAAAAATATTTTATCTATTATTTTTACTTTATGTATATGAGTATATTGCCTGCATGTAGGTAGGTGCACCTGTGTCATACAATGCTTGAGGAGGTCAGAAGAGGGCGTCAGATCCCCTGGAACTGGAGTTTCAGATAGTTGTCAGTCACCATGTGGGTGCTGGGAATCAAACCCAGGTCCTCTGCAAGAGCAGTCAGTGTTCTTGACCACTGAGCTATCTCTCTAGCCTCTTATTTATTTTGAGACAGTCTCATTTAGCCCAGGCTGGCTTTGAACTCACTTTATGTGTGAGATTTCAGTCATGAGCCACCATGCCTGGCTTTCTACAGTCGTTTATTTATTTATTTGGTCTTTTTTTTGTGACAGGGTCTCTCAGTAGTCCCCAGCTGGCTTGGCACTCGCTATGTAGACCAGGCTGGCCTCGATCTCACAGAGATCCGCCTGCTTTTGCCTCAGCAGTGCTAGGACTAAAGGTGTGCGCCACCGAGCAGCTCTACAGTCACTTTTTTTTTTTTTGTTTTTGTCTTTTTCAGACAGGGTCTCCCTGTAGCCCCAGCTGCCCTGGAACTCACTATGTAGACCAAGCTGGCCTTGAACTCACAGAGATCCACCTGCTTCTGCCTCCCAAGTGCTGGGACTACAGGCGTGCACCACAACGTCTGGCTTCTACATGCTATTTGATTCCATCTACAAACACAGTTAATTATTTTCAACACTTCAAACTGAATTTAATTTTTCATATATATTTTTTGGAGACAGGGTCTCACTATATAGGCCTAGCTGGTCTAGGACTTGGTATGTAAACTAGGCTGACCTTGAACTCTCAGAGATCTGCCTGCCTCTGCCTCCCAAGTGTTGGGATTAAAGGCTTGAGCCACCATCCATGGCCTGAATTTATATATATATATGTTTTGCTAGGTAGCCCAAGCTGGCTTTGAATTTACATTTATCTTTCTTTCTTTGTCTCCCGAATGCTGGGATTACAGAGGTGTGCAGCACCATGCCTGGTCTGAATTTATATGCTTATAAGCTAGATGTCCTTTTTCAGTGCTTTGGCTAAATGAACAACAAATCTTAGTCATCTCAAGAATTCAAATTAAAAGATTTATTTCTTTTTCAGGTTAAAAAAAATTTTTTTTTTCTTTTTGAGACAGTGTTTCCCTGTAGACCCAGCTGTCCTGGAACTCACTATGTAGACCAGGCTGGCCTTGAACTCACAGACATCCACCCACCTCTGGATTGCTGGGATTAAAGGCGTGTGCCACCACTCCCGGCTTCAGATAAAAATTTTAAACATAGGGGCTGGAGAGACGGCTCAGCGGTTAAGAACACTGATTCTTCTTATAGAAGACCTGGGTCAAATCCCAGCGCCCACATGGCAGCTAACAACTGTCCATAACTCCAGTTCCAGGGGAATCCAATGCCCTCTTTTGACCTCCGCGGCATTGCATGACATGGGTGCATTTATATACATGCAGGCAATACACTCATACACATAAAATAAAAATAATAAATAAAATATTTTTTTAAGAAACCTCAAGCCAGGCATGGTGGCACATGCCTTTAATCCTAGCACTCGGGAGGCAGAGGCAGGCAAATCTCTATGAGTTCAAGGCCAGCCTGGTCTACATAGTGAGTTCCAGGAGAGCTGGGGGTACAGGGAGACCCTGTCTCAAAAAAACCAAAAAAAAAAAAAAAAACCTTAAAAAATTTTAAATGTAATAAACCTGAAGTTACCTTAACTATTCCAGAAATATTAAAGATCAAATGGGCCAGGCATGGTGATGTATGCCTTTAATTCCAGCACTGGGAGACAGAGGTAGGTAGATTTCTATGAGCTCCAGGTCAGCCTGGCTTACATAGTGAGTTCTTGGTCAGCCAGAGCTGCATAGTGAGACTGTCTCAAAAAAAAAATCATGTTTTCATGTAATATAGAAGCGTATCGGGCAAGGTGGTACACACCTTTAGTCCCAGCACTCGGGAGGAAGAGGCAGATGGACAGATCTCTGTGAGATAGAGGCCAGCCTGGTCAAGTGCCAGGCCAGTTGAGACTACAGGGAGACCCTGTCTCAAAAAGACCAAAAAAAAAAAAAAAATGCTAATGCTTGGCTGTGATTTTCTTAGATCTTTCTTATTTTTTAAATTTTATTTTTATTGTATATGTATGAGTGTATTGCCTGCATGTATGAGAGTGCACCCATGTCGTGCAATGCGGCGGAGGTCAGAAGAGGGCTTCGGATTCCCTAGAACTGGAGTTAAGAATGGTTCATAGCTGCCATGTGGGTGCTGGGAATCAAACCTGGGTCCTCTGCAAGAGCAGTCAGTGCTCTTAACCGCTGAGCCATCTCTCCAGCCTCCAATTTTCTTAGATCCTTCTATCCCACTTTGTACATCTTCCCTGTGTCTAAAAGATGGATAACTACTTGAAACCAGTTTGAGGCTGGAGATGTATGTAGTTCTGTGCTAGCTGGAGAGCTTGCTTTACATGTGTGTTGATCTGAGTTTAATCCCAACACCACAGAGGGAAAAATAACAAGCCAGTTTTCACCCCTCAGGCAACAGGGGCACGTTGGTCACAGACCTAGGGTGACTCCTGAGTGGACTTTGCAATTCTTTTTTTTTATTTTTTGGTCTTTTTGAGACAGGGTCTCCCTGTAGCCCCAGTGCATTTCTCTAGCTCAGAGACCTCTGACCTTGTTGGGCTCCTGAAGAGGATAAATGCTTTTGCATTTAGGAGACCTTTGGCCCCTTTAGCATGCACAATCCTCAGGACATCAATTGTAGCCTATTGAGGCCCTCCTGAGAGCTCTGACCTACATGGAGTCACCTTTCTGGCCATTTGCTGATGCTACCATCAGCATGTTAAGGTGCTAAGCTGGACGCCAAGAAGGCAGACAATTGGTGCACAACATGCCTTATTTCAGGTACCCATGTCCAGCCCCTGCGTTGACTTGGAAGACATCTGGCAGAAAATATGGGGAAGAGAAAGGAGGAAACGTGATTAGGAAGGAAGAGTACAAAGCTCAGCTAAGTGGAGAAACTTCTGCAACAGCAGGAATGGGGAACCGGCCACACAGTGCATCCTGGAACTGGCCCTGGTGGAGTGGGGCGGAGGGGAGAACTGGGTGTGGACAGGCCAAGTGTGGTTTTCTGCAGGAAGCTGTTGGGAACAGTAAAGGATGGGGGTGGGGACCAGTCAGCTTGCTGAAAAATGCTGGTCACGTGTGCGTTCAACCCACTCAAGAAGAGACGTGTCTGGGCTTCGCTTGCAGAGGCTGAGATGGGTTGGAGAGGGTATTGTTTGCCTGTGAGTTCCCACTCACACAATTTGCAAGACGAGGTGAAGACAGACAGACAGCTCTGGGATGAGGACAGGTGGGATGTCCCTTGTGCAAGGCCAGCGCCCTGTGCACAGTGTCCCTGTTGGAAGGAGTAGTGGGCACTGCAGACCTGTGGATGGTGACAGGCGGTGGGTTTAATGCGGGATCCAAGGAAAGCCTGGTGCAGAGTGCACGAAGTGGGTCGGTCCGGCGAGGGCGTGGAAGTGACCGTGCGTATGGTGACCCGCACAACCCAGGTCTGGCAGGGCCGGGTGCCCCACCCAAGACCCTCAGACGGGGCGCCCTTGGTGGTCGCGCACATACACGTGAAGCAGACGTCAACGCGGGCCCTAAGCCTGTCAGCGACCCCTACACTGGGGACACAGGCGCCCTGCGCGGATCCGGGGATTCGGCCGGGAGTTATGGCCCTGAGCCAGGCAGAGCAGGCGGGAGACCGGCTGCAGGAGCGAGCCTGGTGCCCACGGTCGCACACCACCCCGCTGGCGCTCTCCAACCCACCCGTGGCCCGGTCCACTGAGGCCCCGCCCAGCTGCCGAGGCCACTCACCGACAGAGGCCCCGCCCACCCTCCGAGGTCCCGCCCATCTCCAGCCCCGCCGAGACCACGCCCCGGCTCCGCTCCGACAGGCTCGGCCAGTGACCACGCCCTCCAACCTTCTCAGTCCCGCCCCATCCCAGCGTGCCCTGCGCGGGGTCTAGGAAGCTGGCGTGGCGCGGTGGCAGGGAGAGGCGGCTTGTGGGCGGGACTTCCGGCTCTCGGGAGCGTCTTCCGGCCGTGCTTGAGGGGTCTGGCCGGTTCCTGACATGAAGGTGAGCCCGGCAACCGCGGCGGCCCCTGGTCGTCCTGGTATGATGCGGGCGCGCCGGGCGGAAGGCGGGCCAGGGGCGCGAGTGTGAGCAGCCAGTGTGAGCAGGAGGGAGAGCGAGCGCGGACGGGTCCAGAGGAGGGAGCGAGTGACAGCGAGGGTGTGTGAGGACCGAGCAGATGTGAGCGAGTGTGAGAGCCAGCAGATATGAGCGAGCGAGTGTGAGAACCAGAGATGTGAGCGAGTGTGAGAGCGAGCAGATGTGAGTGAGCGAGTGTGAGAGCCAGCCGATGTGGGCGAGCGAGTGTGAGAACCAGGAGATGTGAGCGAGTCTGAGAGCGAGCGTGAGAACCAGAGATGTGAGCGAGTGTGAAAGCCAGCAGGTATGAGAGAGCGAGTGTGAGAACCAGGAGATGTGAGCGAGTGTGAGAGCCAGCAGGTATGAGCGAGCGAGTGTGAGAGCCAGCAGGTATGAGCGAGCGAGTGTGAGAGCCAGCAGGTATGAGCGAGCGAGTGAGAACCAGGAGATGTGAGCGAGTGTGTGAGCGAGCGAGTGTGAGAGCAGGTGTGCTAATGTGAGGGAGCGCCAGAGCAAATGTTAGTACGAGTCATTATGAGAGCACAAGTGTGTGAAATCCGGAGAGGAAGTGCATGAACAACCGCACAGTGGTGTGAGTGCAGTTCTGTGTGCCAGTGTGGCTGAGTATGGAGGACAGCATGAGTGCGGTGTGTAAAACGGTGCAGATGAGAGCCGTTGTAAAGGAGCGAAGGCAGAGCTTTCAAGGGTGCATGGTTGAGTGTATGGGAATCAGATGGTGGAGTCTTGTGGAGGATGTGAGTGTGGCAGCCAGTGGGACCAGGTGTGGTGGGTGCGCAGCGTGATGGCGGTGCACGGTAGCGCTGTGGGTCTCCAAGCTGCTGGGTGCCAGGCCCGCCTTACCGTCAGTGCAGCCCTGGACCTGGAGAGCCAGGGTGGGGAACTGCAGATGGGGATAGTGTGCCTGCCCGGTACTTCACACAGCCCGAGCCTGGAGCCTGGAGCGGCCAAGGACTGAGAGCTGGTGCCTTCCCTAAACTTGAGCCGTTTCATTACAGTGTGCACCGGGCATAGCCGGGTAGCCACATGCCTCCAGGCTGGGTGGGCTTCCCCGGGGTTGGTCCCCTCAACCTGTGAATGAGGTGACACCGATGCCTGTGTCCTGGGCTGTGGAGAGAGCTTGTGAGTGATCCACCAGGCTTGGCATGCAACGAGTGTGGTCAATAAACGTCACCTGGGATTATAAGCATCCTGCTTCCTAGCCACCTTCATTTCCAGCTATGCACTCACCCCCAGTAAGAATAGTTAGCTCCAAAATGTGCACTCATGGGTAAAGATGGAGGACGGCCATTGCACTTGGTGTAGGAGCGTTTCTGTTTTGAGAGCCCGGGGGCTGGAAGTGTGGCCCTAGTTTGCCTGGTATGTGTAGAGCTCTGGATTCAATCCTGGACCTATTAAGCAAGCAGCAACCCAGCCAGTGGCCTCAGCGACTCAGCTTATCAATCAGCATTCCTCAAATCCTGCAATACCAAAGTAAGAGATTAGTCTAGGCCATGTTTTTACTGTTTTTGTTTTTTTAGAAGATAGGGTCTCAAGTAGCCCAGGCTGGCCTTGAACTCATTACATAGACAAGAATGACCTTGAACTCTTGGGCTTTCTGCCTCCACCTTGCAGTGCTGGGATTACAGGTGTGAATCACGGTGCCCAGCCAAAAGCTAGTTCTTAGAACTGCAGTTGACAGTGCAGTACAGAGTAAGGTTCACGTTGACCCACTGCTTTTACTCTGCACATACACATCTGGTATGTTACATGAGCTGCACACACTAACGTGTTTCTGTATAACAAGCACTTAACACATTTCTTGCTGTGGGTCTGTTTGAGAAACATTTGCAAGCCCCTACCGTGACTCCTTTCCGCCAGTCCAACACAGTCCTTCCAAGACCATGAGACTTGGAGGCCCAGAGTTACAGAAGCAGCCGCATGTTTTCCATTGCTAGCTTGGCATAAGACAGGACTGAGACCCAGGTTGGCCCAATCCATAACATTCCATATTCCCTGCTGGGCCCTCCCCCCAACAGATGGTCATTCATGTTGGAGGAAGAAACACATTGTGGTGTAAGAACACAGATCCCAGGAGTCTGCTCCATGAAGAACATGTTGGAAAGTTTACCCTCTGGGTGCCGTGGGCAGTAGGGAGCCCTGGGAGATGCAGCACCCTGGGTGCCCCACATATCACACATGCCTCATCCCCGGCTCCCCACATACACCGTGGTAGTCATTCTGGAGAGTTGGAAACCAGCATTTGTGAGCATCCAAGTACTTAACGATCACCAGTAGCACCAGCCCTGGCAGTGTGTTGGGTTTGGTTCTGCCCCACTGCCCAACACAAGCTGACAGGCCTGTCTGCCTCCACCTTGTATCCAGATAGGCCCCTGCCCTGTTTATTTTTGTTATGTTAATTATGGGTATATGCCTGTGTGGGGGTGAATGAGTGCAGATGTCCAGGGAGGCCAGAAGCTGGCATCTGGTCCCCTGGAGCTGGAGTTACAGATGGTTAGCTGCCTGATGTGGGTGCTGAGAACTTGACTCCGGTCTTCTACAAGAGGACATTCTTAATTGCTGAGCCCTCTCTCCAGCCACCCCTTTTCTGAGTGGATATTGAGGATTGTACCCTGGGCTTCACGCACTCTAGGCAAGTGCTCTACTACTGGACTACAGTCCCAGCCTTTTGTTTTGTGACAGGGTCTTGATAAGTTGCCTGTGCTAGCCTTGAACTCTGTCATGCAGGCAGGAGTTGAACCTCTGGTTCCTTTTTTAAACAAGATTATTATCGTTATTTGGGGGTTTTGAGACAGGGTCTTCCCAGCTGGCCTGGAACTTGTTTAGTAGACCAGGCTGGCCTCAATCTCACAGAGATCTGCCTGCCTCTGCCTCCTGAGTGCTGGCATTAAAGGTGTGCACCACCATGCCTGATGTTGTTTTATTTTATTTTGGTCTTTTTGAGCCAGGGTCTCCCTGTAGCCCTATGTAGACCAGGCTAGCCTTGAATTCACAGAGATCTGCCTTCCTCTGCCTCCCGAGTGCTGGGGCTAAAGGCTTGCGCCACCACGCCTGGCCTGTTATTTTAATTATGTGTATGTGTGTGGGTCTGTACTTGAGAGTGAAGGTACCTGTAGAGATCAGAAGAGGGTGTCGGATCCCCTGGAGTTGGAGTTACAGGCAGTTGTGAGCTGCCTGTTGTGGATGTGGGCAACTGAACTTGGGTCCTCTGCAAGAGCAGTATGTGCTCTTGACTGCTGAGCCATCTTTCCAGCCCTAAATCTTTGATTCTTGTGCTTCAAATCCTGAGTAGTTGGAATTATAGGGCTGGGCCACTAGGCCAAGCTCCTTCCATCCTTTCTTCCTGGAGGTGTCAAGTTATAGGTCATGGGTAAAAAAAAAAAGTGGTAGTCAGAAAGGCCTCTTAAGTGAGCAGTGGCCCATTATGGCTACCTGGTGGTAGTAGAGACTTAGGTCATAGGGCACCTGGATACACTGTAGTGTCCTGGACAACTTCCTGGAGGCTCATACCCCTGATTGCTCATCTCTTTCCCTGTGGCCCAGTTCTTTATCCAAGGGAAAGGAGCCATGGTTATGATAGGGACAGAGACTGAAGACAGATCCTTGGGAGCTGGGGAAGCTGCAGTCTCAGACTGGCCAGGTAAGCTGTGGGTAACTCTGGGTCACTGGTCCCAACCCCCTTCCATGGCCAGGATTCCCCAGTCCCTGGGGCTATGGGCCACCAAGTCTAAGCCTCAGTCGTGAAGACAAAGTGAACTGGGGTAAGCTAAGGTACAAAAAGTTACGGCCTCTTTTTTTGAAGATTAAAAAAAAAAGTTATGTGGGGGCTGGAGAGATGGCTCAGCGGTTAAGAGCACTCACTGACTGCTTTTGGAGAGGACCTAGGTTTGATTCCTAGCACCCACATGGTGGCTACAAACTGTCCTTAACTCCAGTTCCAGGGGAATCCGAAGCCTTCTTCTGACCTCTGTGGCATTGCACCACATAGGTGCACTCACATACATGCAGGCAATATACTCATACACATAAAATAAAAATAATAAAATATTGTTTTAAAAATTATGTGTTTTGCCTGCGTGTATGTTTTTTGTTTGTTTGTTTTTTCTTTTGTTTTGTCTTTTTGAGACAGGGTCTCCTTGTAGCCCCAGCTGTCCTGGAACTCACTATGTAGTCCCGGCTGGCCTCAAACTCACAAAGATCTGCCTGCCTCTGCCTCCCAAGTGCTGGGATTAAAGGTGTGCGCCACCACGCCCAGCTGCCTACATGTATGTAAGTGCACCATATGTGCAATGTCTGTGAAGTCCAGAAGAGGACCCCTGATTCTCTGGAACTGGAGATGCAAACGGTGTAGCCACCATGTGAATTCTGGGAACTGAACCCCAGTCCTCTACAAGAGAATCAGCCACTGAGTCATCTCTCCAGCCCCAAGTTATTAAGCCTGTTAATTCTCATTTTGTCACTGGGGAGAGAAGCTGGTAGCATCAGAGGTGAGTGGTGTGATGGGAACCTTGATCTTACCCTTCTGACTCATAGAACAGTCGCTGCCCTTGCTGAAGGCTTCAGGCATCCAACAGTGTTCTCTGTATTTGCCCTTCCTTTCCTAACTCCACAGAGCCTCAAGGCCAGGCTCTCTTGTGCTCTCCCTGTCTCCTAGTTGTGGAATCTTTCTGGTCTGCCTCATTCCAGAGCCACCAGATGTGTTGGTGTTCTGGGGGCCAAAGCTTGGAAGCATACCACCACAGCCCTTGCTCCCCTCAGGCTACATGAGCACCAGGTCTCAGGGAAGTGAGAGAAAGGGAAGCAGAGGAGAAAGGCTGGCTAGGAGGTCATAGGAGTGGGCGGGCAGGCCTGAGGAGGGCCTGCTTCTAGCTGCTGTTAATGGCTTGGCCGACTGGGTTTTCTCCTTCTCAATCTGGCTTCTGACATCCTTATTGCCTGTGGCTATAGGAAAAGGTACCAGGCATTGGGCTGGGTCAGCCTCCAGCTTCCCACTTGCCTCTGCTTGGGCCTTTGTGGGCCCCTCAGCTGGTTTGGTAGGCTGTGTGCTGCCAGGGATGTGAGACCAGATGGCCTGCTTCTGTATACCTGTCTTGAAGTCTCATGAAAGACAGACAACCCAGTTGGGCCATGTTTCCTAGGGCTTAAAAGTGAATTGTATAACTAGTGAAAATTCAGTGCGGAAAAGTCAGAAAATACAGGTAAAATAAATAAAATGACCAGTAATTCCCTACCAGTGAACATTTTGCTTCTGTACATACTTTTTTGTTTTTTGTTTTTCTAAGACAAGATTTCACTATGTAGCCCTGGCTGGCCTGGAACTTGCTCCAACTCAAAATGATCCTCCTGCCTCTGCCTCCTGGGTGCTGGGATTAAAGGCGTGTGCCACCATTCCTGGCTCCATACAAGCTTTTTAATGTGGACACAGGTAAAAACAGGACTGTCAAGCTAGGGGTGATGGCACATCCCTATAATCCTGAGACTTGGGAGGCTGAGGCAGGAGGATCTTGAGCTGGAGGCCAGCTGGAATGTTCTAGCAAGAGCTTGTCTCAAACAGACCGTGTTGTAGAGATGCAGTTCGGGGGTGATTTTCAATTGATCACAGTCATGCCCACCTCTATGCCTATCCATGTTCCAGCACTCAGAGTGCTAGATCCCTAAGCTTGATTCTTGTGTGTATGGGACATATTTGAAGTAGACATTGTAAAAGGAAGCAAGCATGTGGTGACAGTTTAGTATTTATGGCCAGATGGTCATCCAGAGAGGCCTTTCAAAGCTGGAATTTCCACTTAGCTCAGGAGTTGTTTTCCAAAGCCTACGGAAGCATTCTTTGTAACCCTTCACACAGAGTGGAGACACCATCTCACCTGTTTTTGTTCCTTCAGTCATGGGGGAAGCAGAGCTGAGCTGTTCATTTCTGGGATCTGAGTGTCTATTTGAAACCCGTTCTTGTCCCTGTCTTGTTTTTATAGTGAGACATTGCTTACTAGAATTACTCTTTGTTTACTTTTTGTGTGTTTTCAGACATGGTCTCATATAACTCGGGCTGGCTTTCAAGTCCATAGATAGCTAAGGCTGACCTTGACTTCAGATCCTCTCACCCCTGCCTCCCAAGTGCTGTGATTACAAACATGTGCATCCACACCCACCTTTTTTTATTTGAAATATTTCTTTGCATAGTAGGGATAGTTATGGGTAGAAACATGTCAAGTGTGTCCCAAATAAGTTTTTCTGACTCACAGTCTTTTAAATTTATTTTGTTTTCTAAATGAAAGTTTTTCTTTTTTTTTTTTCAATGTGTGTGCTTGTATTGCCTGCATGTAGGTAAGTGCACCCGTGTCATGCAATGCCTGTGGAAGTTGGAAGAAGAGGGTGTTGAATCCCTGGAACTGGAATTAAGGATGGTTGTTAGCCACCATGTGGGTGCTAGGATTTGAACCCAGGTCCTCTGCAAGAGCAGAGGTACTTTTAACCACTGAGCCATCCCTCCAGCCCTTTTTTTTTTTTTTTTTTTTGAAACAGGGTCTCCCTGTATGCCAGCTGGCCCGTAACTCACTGTGTAGACCAGGTTAACTTTGATCTCACAGTGATCTGTCTGCTTCTG